GTCCCGGTGCCCCTGGTCTGCTGGAGACGGTCTCCAGCAGACCAGTGGCACCGGGAGCAGCTTATGAACGGGGCTTTCTCGCCCCGGAGCTCGCAGGCAGCAATCCGCCACCTCGACCTCCGGGGCGAGAAAGGCCCGTTTGTAAGTGCGGATCCGACATAAGTCGGATCCGCGTAAGTTGGGGACTGCCCGTAATTTCAAAGCTCCCCTATAGTAGGGACACACTATTTCAATTTTGTTATTTCAGGAGTTATTATTCTGAATTTAATTACTTTGAATCATTTCCTAGTGCAGGACCATAGACTAGATGAGTTCTCAGAATTCCATCCAATCTGACCTTTCTAGGACTGTATGATTAGCTAAGGTTTGCAAAGTGCAAGATGGTGATGATGCCAAGTCTTGCAATAGTTGGTTGTTTTTTTTCTTTTTTGTAGTGCGCCAACTCCAATAATCATGTATAAAGAGATTAGACTCCCAACTTTTATTTAAAAAAGGAACATTTCTGACCCTCATGACTGCAAAGAAAAGCTGGAAAACCAAGACCCTCTAGGAGCTTAAAACACCAACAGGCAATAATGTGCCTATGCAGGAAACATTATTTTTGTCAGTGAACCCTGCTGCCTGATGGGAAACTTTGCAATCTAATTTGGTTTATTTTTGAAATCTGCTGGTGGTGTCTATTTTCTGCCTTCCTTTTGGAGTGCAGCAGGTCTGGAGCTGGGACTTGACTTCTGTTATTGCTCTGCCAACGACTTCCTGAAAAAACCTCCTTGTCACCCTTATTGGAGTCTGTAGCAAAATTGTCTCTGAATTTCCAGGGGGCAGAAACTGCTGTGTGCCAGCTAGGGTTGCCAGGTGTCCAGTTTTGAACCGGACAGTCCAGTATTTGAGCTTCCTGTTCGGGAAACAAACTGAGAAAATATAAATGTCCGATATTTTCTAAATAAGACAATGTAAATTGTGATGTAATGTGAAGTGTGTCCAGTTTTTTGTTGAAACCATCTGGCAACCCTAGTGCCAGCTAAAAATAAAATGGTTACTTCTCTGTTTCCCTGGCCTGAGACGTTGCTCCTCTCCCTTAACTCTCCCCATGTGAGCTGTGCGGGGGAGGGGGAGGGAGGAGGAGGGGAGGAGAAAGACCTGAGGAGAAAGAGGGTGAGCAGTGGGTGGGACTTTGGGGGGAAGAGGATGAACATGGGTGGGGCTTTGGAGGGAAGAGAATGAGCAGGGCAAGAGTCTCAAGGCAGAGTGCTGAAAGAGCAGGGGATGGACCACAGTTCAGGCACCAGGCCCACAAAAGATTAATCTGGCCTAGGGTTGCCAGATGGTTGAAACAAAAATACCGAACACCCCCGCCCCCGCAAAAAAACAAACAAACAAACAAACAAACAAACAAACAAACAAAACCACCGGGAAAAAATTCTGTTGAAATAAAAAAAGGGGGGGGGGGAAGAGAGGACTCCAAGACTTATTAAGCAATATATATATATATACTAGCCAATTAGCCCATCATAAAACGGGATTTTTAGGCCTTCTCTTCTGAGCTCTTTTGCGCTGTCTTTCTCTCTTCCTACGGCCTCCCTCCCCCCCTCAGCTCTCCTCCGCCTCCTGCCTCTCTCTCCGTCTCTTTCTTTCTCTTCTCCCCCTCCTGCCTCTCACTCTCCCCTTC